TTAATTTTCTCGAAAAATTTCACACCTTGTCGAATTTTTTCTTGAAAGTGGGTAGGATTTCGGGGGTATGTCTATTGATCAAAAATTATTGTAATTGACCCCTGCAACTGAAAATAATTTTTTCAGAACGATTTGAAATTTTTTAATTTTGAAGAAAAATTTCACACCTTGTCGAATTTTTTTCTTGAAATTGGGTAGGATTTCGAGGGTATGTCTAATGAACAAAAATGATTGTATTTGACCCCTGCAATCGAAAATAATTTTTCCAGATTGATTTGAAACTTTTCAATTTCGCCGAAAAATTTAGGCACCTCTACCCCCTGTCGATTTTCTTAAAAATTCGTTTTTCATTTTTAATAATTTTGCTTGACGCTCTAGAGAAAAGTTGTCTAATACTTTTTTGTAGGTACCCATGGGCTCTGCCACAGAAAAAAGTTTCATTGAATTATATCCATTATTGAAGGAGTTATGGCTATTTGAAAATTGGACCACTATTAGAGGGTTTTTCCTCATTTTACGAGGTTAAGGAACAACTTTTTGAATATTTTTGGAATTTCCACGTATTCTCCATCAAAATACGCGTAGTTTGCCTTTTTGAACATTAAAATCGTCCAATCCGTTCAGGAGTTATGACGTTTCAAATATTCGCATGACATTTTGGGGTACCATTTCTGGCCAGAAATTATATTTTCGGTAAGGAATTTTTTTTCTCGAAAATGCGTAATAATTCGGGGGTATGTCTGATCACCAAAAATTATTGTAATTAAGCCCTACGACTAAAAATAATTTTTTTAGTACGATTTAAAATTTTTTAATTTTTTGAAAAATTTCACGTCTTGTCGAATTTTTTTCTCGAAAATGCGTAAGAATTCGGGGGTATGTCTGATCACCAAAAATTATTGTAATTAAGCCCTACGACTAAAAATAATTTTTTTAGTACGATTTAAAATTTTTTAATTTTTTGAAAAATTTCACGTCTTGTCGAATTTTTTTCTAGAAAGTGGGTAGGATTTCGGGGGTATGTCTAATCACCAAAAATGATTGTAATTGAGCTCTGCGACTAAAAATAATTTTCCCAGAGCATTTTGAAACCATATTTTCGGTAAATGATCCATCCCGGCACAAGTTATCGGTACATTTACCTTAACTCGACGATTTTTAGTTCTTCCCTGCTCCCTGGAGGTTTGATCGTAATTATTAATATTCATCGATATTCAACAATATGGTTTCCGTTACCGGTGCTTCTAGAACGTCGTTCCTTCGACTCGCAATCCTTTCGCGAACAATGACGAACGACAGATTTTAGAATCGCGTATAAGGCTCGACGCGCATATGCATGAGCCAACCGTATAAACATCCGTCGTTCGAAAACCGTCTGGTTCTTTCTTCTCTTCCCTTTCCTTTTCTATTTTTATTTCCGTTTTCTTTTTTTTCGTCGATTCGAATTGGCTTCGACAACGGGCGATACGCGGTTTATTTCGCGATACCGCGGCCGGCTCGATGCATTAACACAGCCGCCTCCGTTTTCCTTGCTTTTCATGCACTGAATGCTATACAGCTCTGCGGTTTCTAGGATGATCCGCATCGCGCCGCTGAAAAAATTCGGTCAAGTCGGCGGGATTAATTAAACGCCGCTTTTGCGTTTTGCCAGGTAACTCCGCGAGAGCGCGGAATTTTAGTGGGCGAGCAAGAAAGTGGTGGTGGGGGGCCGGGCAAAGAGAGACGGACGTTTTTCCACTTAAACGATGCTGGTTAATGACTGCATTAGAATTGCAAGCGAGCCCCGCGAGATCGCGATCTCGAACGTAGCGGACGTCGAAATTAAACCGCAGAAAATCGTGCCTTTGGTTCGTCGCTCAAAGCTAGGGGAAGGAAAGACCCGTTTCTTCGTATTTTGCCATCGAACGTACCTCATCGATGGGCGTTCTCGAGAAGAGGAGGAACGGCCAGTATAACAAACGTCGATTTCAATTTAACACCTATAACCTGTCGACACTTATTCTTTGACCATCTCACAGGGGGAGGCTAAAATCGTGTATTTATCTATCATTTGTTTCTTTATGGGTACACGAATCCCCTTATATGTATACAAAGATAGAGAAATTTATATGAGAGAGTAAACGTAAATACAACAGACGCCATATCTAGTTGCACCGCTTGGAAAATTTATTATCTAATTTCTGTACGAATGTGGTGTAAGAGGAGAAGAAGTTATCGATTATTAAACAAAAACAGATAAACTTTCCATATAACGTAGTATGAAATTCTCGATATACATATATATGATTGTATGGTGTCTTCTTGCAGTTAATTTAGGTATCGTTAGACGCAACATGGAGAGTATCTCAGGAGACACGACCAATCTATTAAGAACTTTGTAAATGAAAATTAGGTCAGATTTGATAGGACGACGTTCAAGCGGCCAAATATTTAGATTAAGTTGAATCGATAAATATTCATGGTCCGTTGCTGCTGGTCGTAAAAAATTCGTGTTGAACCTTTCGAGAGTGTTTGTTTGATAAATATAGCAAGACGATCAAATCACCGATGCATATTCTATTTTCAAACGTACTAAAGTGCAATATACTAAGTTTCAGTCTTTCTAGTGTTAAAAATCATCAGCAAAAAGCAATAAATAACAAGTATTTAAAGCAGCTGTGAACGTCGTTTATAAAAAAGTTATAAAAGTATACTGCATATTAGCTTTGGACAAGTTTTTCGAATAATTCCACTCGATGAAGATTAATAATATTTCGCAATCACGATTTAAAAACTGTGTATTTAAAGTTTTTTAACGTTTTGTAATTACATTGTTTACTCAATTCGCGTTAAAAAATTGCCTTTACAACCTCATTTCGATTATCATGTTGTACTTTGAGCATCCTGTGTATCGACTAAATAAATAAATAAATACTCGATCGTTGGTGAATTTTTGACGCGAGAAGGTGTATCGTACAGAAGCTAGGATTATTGTAATATCATGGACGCGAGAGCCCACCATCTCGAAATTGGCATCCGCCATTGTTATCCCTCCCGTCAGACTGTATTCGATGAAATATTCGTATCCGAGGCGCATTTTATCGAAAATATCCGACGCAAGGACAAAGAGATTGCTCGTTTCTACGTGTGTTGAAATTTTCTCCCCCCCCTCCCCTGCGTGGTTCGGCGTAAAAGAACGCACTGAAGCAATAATAGCTCGCGCAGGTACGAGCAAGCATAGTAGAAAGTACAGGCTGAGCGCGTATCGGCGTCTAATTGGTATCGCGTAGCGGAATTAAAACCAAGTTCTCGCTCAGATTCGCCGGTGTCCCATTAGGCGGCATTGTTGTCGCAACAGATCGGTTTCGCAACGATGCAGTGAACTTTTATCCGCGCGAACGGCCTTGCCTTTTTACATTAGCATCGGCCGCGTGTGGGCGTTCCTTACTTTCGTGCCTTGAAAAACCATTCACTGTTTTGCACCTACATAGACACGCGGTAGACAGCCGCGTGCCGTTGCCATAAAGTCAGAGAAATCTTGGGGAGGCATGTAACTCGTTCCATGTACCCGTTACAATCGTCCAATTCCATTTCATTCGATTCGACGACATCGCGCTTGTTTCTTGCGATTCGCGACCGGAATCGTTTCTCCGTTTTACCCTCACCGGGGGTGGCTGGTCGTGGATTAGGTTTAATCGAGACTCACTTGTGTAATTGTATGCTTAACTATTATCTTTGTTACAAGTACATTGGTGAACATAAGAAATAGCACACGTGGTGGACGACACAGCAAGAAAACACCTCGCGATCGGAAGTATTTTTTTCTTTTCCGAAGAAACTATGCAACTTCTTGCATTTTGGCGTTTTCCTTAAATATTTACGAATCTTTGCAACGAGGAATGGTCAAAATTCAAAATTAGGGGTCAGAACTTCGTTCTCGTGTTTTCTACGATTCCCAGCCATTCTGTTTGTCTAAACCAGAAAAGTGAACGAAAACGATCCATTTTTTTCCAGCAGGGCACCAAAAGGGCAGAAATAAATTTGATAATCGAAAGGCAACATTTTAAAATTGAAATATTGAGTTTTTGTTGTTGTTTTAACAATTGGTCTAGTAGATCTTACAATTTTTTGAAATTCAGAAAAATACGTCGATCGATACAGAATGTTGAGCCATTAATCAGCTGCCAGGGTAATCTTCTTCTCCGTATTTCATTCACAAACATTTCTAACTTTCTTGTCTACGTTGATACGCGTCTCGAAAATAAAAATTTGCGAAGAAACTGTCGAGTACGAGGACTTGGAGATATACTTGTGCCCACATAACGCAAGTTATAGTTGGGTTTATTATATAAGAACGTTTTATACGATTCTTTGTTAAATCTGTTTATTTACTTTTAACGGAAAACAATTTTCATGTCTCGTTTTTCTGCGTTTTCTAACAGAAAATCATCGCGACACATAGAACACGCTAACTTTCTTTTTTTCCCCATTTACATCTCGTTCCAGCTATAGAAAATGTCGATTATCGTGGCTGGTCTGATTAGCACACTTTCGATTGTTAATTCGGTGGAAAGACGCGTCGTTATTTGTATGCTCGAGAAACTATGATACACGGCAATTATTTCTTTTCTCTTTCAGAATACCATTACTATCGATAGAAGTAGGCAGCATAAACAGGAATATCGATTATATTATAAAAAAGTTGCCAATGGTCATCCGTTGATTTATTTACCTATATTGTATCGTCACGTTATATGTATAAATATTACATCTACGAATATAAATATTCGTTTGGTTCATTAAATGTTTTTTATTGTATTGTATCGAATAAGATTGTTAGAAACACAGCGTGGTCCGTGACGGAGGATTTTCCACCTGAACGCTGGTTCAGCTTTAACGCTGCTTCGGTTTCGTAATACGCGCGAAATGATTTCGTCGCTGGGAAATGCACGAAAGAGCAATGGCAACGTCACGTGGTCTCGTGACTTCGCAAATCGGAAGCAGTCGCGGTCGTTGTTCGGCCAAAGTATGTGAACCGAGCAGCGAAGGCGTTCAGTGTCGCCAAGATACTCGCGTGCACGCGTAATCGTCCCTTGGACGTTAACAGTGACCCGCCAGCAGCCCAGAGAATTTTAATCAGCGTTCGAAATGCGCCCGTCGAGCCATCCTATCGCAAGAAACTCGATTCAACGTTTCCATCGACGCCACGAAAAGGCCACGAAGTTCAGCGAAATACGAAAGTGCGTTTCCTTCGCATTTTTTCAACGTGGCTCGAGACTATGCGATCCGCCGGGGACCTTTGGACGTTCACCGTACAAGTTTCACCGTACGATAATCGAAAAATATAATTTAAACGCGCATCGATTGATATCCGAACCCAACCTAGGATAGATCTCTCCCTGATTTTACGTTCACCATCACCCCTACTGTTATCTTTGAATTTGTTTTTGCTTTCTGTTGTTTTAACCCCCACAGCTTCTTTTTAACGCGGCTGCATCCCTCTTGAGTCGAAAAGCATGGAAAACGCTCGCTTCGAAATTTTAGTATTTCATTAACTCCTCGACACGCTTACATTTTTTTATCTAACCCGCTAAAAACGATCAGTTTTAACTTCGTTGAATTTCTTTCCCACGTAATAAGTGTTTCTTGACGGTTAAAACACTTTGAGTTTCGGTAACTTTTGCAATCGTGACTGTTTTTTGTCGAACAAAATTGTGAGTAACACGTATCGGTAAAGAAATGCTATTTTTCCATCCCCGAAAATGAAGATCGCCCACGATCGTTTAATTTCGTCGTCGTCGTCGTCGTCGTCGTCGTCGTCGTCGTTTTTCTTTTGAGTTGCTAGCCCCTATCCTGTTCCTACTTTCTGTTACAGATTTCGTACGAACCGTCTGCGTACGGTACGAAAGGCACCGAGAGCAACGAGGATGTAGCCGCCTGTACCAGGAGAATCGCGTCGAGGATGTGCAGAAGGGAGCAGCTGAACACGGAAAGGTTATCGTCGTCGCGCGTGTCGCCGCTGCAGGAACAATCGACAAAGATCGCTGGCCCCGTGATATAGTGATGACGAGCTAAGGCATCATCGATCCGTCCCGAGTGAAATCACTTTTTGTCCGACGCTCGAGATCAAAGACCGCGAGACCGTATCAAAGAGCGAAAAGATGTTGGGAGTGAGTCAACCGGGAAATCCGCCCTCGAGCTTGCGACACTCGGCGAGCTTCTCTTGTCTGCAGCGCAGCACCGCCGGCGAGGGACACCGGGCGAGGACCTCGACGCTGTTGCAACAGCCGAGCTTGCAGCTCAGAGGCAGCCATCATCAGTACGCGTCCGGTCAGACGTCGTTGGTGCAACCGTCGACGGGCACCGTTCAGCATCGCGTCGAGGCGCTCGAGTCCATACAGGACAGCAACGATTACGGTTTCGTGAAGATCAGGCCCCGTCTGCGTAGCACCAACGCCACGCTCTACCACGAGGAGGAGGTGGCGGCGCAGAAGAGCGCGCTGTGGGACCGGGACGCGTCGGCGTTCAGCGACTGCGAGTGCGACACGAACTTCCGCGACTGCTCGCTGAAGATCAAGGACCGGGAACACTCGCCGAAAGGCGTCGCATCCAAGAACCAGAACCCCCTCAGAGGCGCCCTGATACTGTTCACCTCGACCTCGTCCTGGTGGAAAGCCAGACAACGGGAGGATCAGCTGAACGGTACGTCCGCGGACTGCTCGCTGACCACCACGACCACCACCACCAACACCACCACCACCAGCAGCACCGCCACGGTGTCGTCGTCCGAGCGAAAGTGGTCGAACGCGTCGATGGCCTCGCCGTCGAACGAAAGAAAATGGCCGTCGGTGACCTCGCCGGCGAACGACCGGAAGTGGTCCGTGGGCAACAACGCGCTCACGTCGCCGGCCAACGACCGAAAGTGGACCCGATCCTCCGTGTCGTCCAACTCCAGCAGACAGCTGGACAGGACGTGGAGGTCCCTGGGCGCTCTGCTGAGGGCCCCGAGCGGCTCGCACGCGGTCCATCACTCGATGTCCCACAACATGAGCGTCTCGATGATCGAGGCCGACCACGTACGCGAGGATCTGCGCGGCTCCGGTTACAAGTCGTCGCGTTATCAGCAGCCCACGTCCTATTCCGCCCGCGTGTCGCGAGTCAGCCGGGACGTTTACAGAGAGAACGGGGAGTTTAGTCAGACGGGACGATCGAAGGTGAGCCGCAGGCTGTACCAGGACGCCGCGGAATCGACGGACAGGGACGCCGAGGACAGACACCTTCCGGCCATACACCAGTTCTACGACGAGTGCATAGGCGCCTCGAATCGCGATAATGCCGGGAAGGTCGATCAGCCGACCGCGGAGACGCGCACCGCGTTCACCAGATCCAGCAGGGCTCAGAGCTTTTATCTGTTGGACGATTTCTTGCGGCCGCAGCCTCAACAGAACAAGTGCATGCTCAACGTGTACTTGTCCCCGTCGCATTCCAAGTCGGAGACCAAGCAGCCCACGCAAGCCAATCTGACCAACATAACGCCGCCGCGACGTCATAACTCCAGTTCGGATAGCCTCGAGGTCGCCACTAGTCCTCTTCCGCCGCCTGTGCCGCCACCCCCGCCCCAGGTCGCCACACGGGACCGGGAACGGAACGAGAATTTCAAGGAAAAGGACGCGTGCCCGTGCAAAATGTGCTGGACCAATATGCAGCCGAGATCTTTCGTAGACGAGGTAAGTCCCCGGAAGAGATGAGTACGTATCGCGTATCGGACACACACCCGGACCTCCTTGATCATCGATTCATGAATTATTCAATCCATTTGCAACCAACTTTTTTCAAAAAAACATCCATTAGAGATTCCATATTTATCAACTCTCTCAAAACTTTCGATCGTAATCCTCCTTTGAATTATTTTACTTAATGTTTGATTTTTACTAAATTTATTATTGGAAATTAACTTTCCAAGAGGATTATATAAATTATCAAATTATTACATTGACATATATATGTAAACAATTATTAGTTTAAACTCGCGGAGGGCGGCAGTGGCCTCCACTTAATAATCCACTTGAGAGTTCAAATTTTGTTGGTAGTTGTTTGAACAAATTTTCTGGCCAAAGTATTTAGATTCTCTTTTCTTTATTTGTTGATGCTTTTGGCCAATCTGTGACTATATGATTTTTCATCTTTCTGCAATTCTAATATTAACTAGCTCTTACGTATCCGCGTTTTCGATCGTTTGAAACTATCACCGTACAAAGTCATACGCATAGAGTAGTAATTGTAAATAAAAGGGTGTGCCCATGAGCTGTATTTAGGGTATTGGATGGCATTAATTCGGTCCTGGGAAGTAGTATAAAGTGCTGTCTCGGTCTAAGCGTTATACGTGCATGTACATACGCGGTGCGTTAATTCTGTTTCCTGAAGTAACGAACTACTATTTAAGTTAATTAAAGTCTCTTTCACGGATGTTTGCTAGAGACTCGAAGAGTCCCTGGAAACATTGATCAGGGGAAAGTTGGAATGGTATACAGAGTGTCCGTGAAGTTACAACGCAAATTCACATTCGTTGCACAAATATCATTCGTAGCGTAAGAAAAATTACGGATCGATAAATAAAATTGTCACTTTGTTTGTAATTATAACATTTTTAGGTAGTTCCAACTTGGACGTTTATAGAGTATTTAAGTCGAATCATGTGTGTTTACAATTTTTTCTATTTTTTTGATTTGTTTGCCTCTTTTTCTTCGTTCCGGGTTAATTAAAAATCTAACGAACCGATTTTGATTAAACCACTACTATTCAGTATTGCAAAAGGAAAGGGCCCGAGTCCCCCCCTATACATATAGTCAACAAAATTTAATGTTTAAATTTTCATCGATTCAAGCGTTTTCTTTATTCGTTGACTATCAAAACTTCGATATTTCTATTTTTATTCATAATTTTTACAAGTGGAATTTCTAAATCTTTAAATTCTCGAATTATTTTCCTACGTTTCGTTAGCCTCCCTTAGATTTCTTTTCGAACGTGTAATCCTCCAAATCGGAGAACACGTAGTCTCGAGATCATTTCCGAAGAAGATTCTTTCACGGACGAAAGTTACGAACTTTGAAACGTCCTGTAGAGCACAGGAGGAGACAGGACCGTATAAGATAGAAGGCACGAGATAGACCACTGACGGTGATATCTCGCGGCGAGATCTTGAAACCGGCCATGTCTGTCGTTGCGTCGAACCAGGGTGATTTATCATTATTGAAATACGGACCATTTGAGCCATCGCTGCCCATTCTACACTCGGAAAGTCGCCATTCTGTTCCCTATCCTTATTATACCCCTTCGTGCTTAGTCAATTTGATTCGTTTGAATTTCACCAGTATCAAAATTTTATTTCCCCGTAATTATTTTTTACTATCTCAATATATATTGTCAAACGACAACGTAATGGACACTGGATAGAAGTTAATTCCCGAAAGATATATCTATTGTATATGTATATTTAAGAGCTCTTATTTAAGATCACTGTTGGTGGAATAATATTTTGTCACGAAGATAGGGGAACAATGGCCTGCTATACGACGGTCGAAGAACAACGAAAGACAGAGTTTCGTTGGTAAAATTAGTCACGGCCGTGTTGTTTGCTCGGTCGGCAAGCCGTGCGGTGGACAATATCCTTTTAAGACTTTTTTAAATTGCGGTCAACGCGTTAATCGTCTGATAAACGAGACCGAGCGAAATTCCCCTTGTTAAACCGCAGAATCAGTGTTGTCCTTGTCGGACGACGGGCCACGACGAAAAAAGGACCAACGGGATCTCGTTAGCGAGCGTTGCGATATTTCGGCGAGATGAATTTAAAATCACCGTGAAAATTGGTTCTATGTTACGGTTGGTCGGGACTTGCGGTTAGACCCGAAAACCCCATTAGGCGTATTATTAATGCCCCGTCCGCTCGAAGCTTCCCCTTTTCTCGTTCGATGCGATACAATCTTTCCAGGAATCTGCTTCGCGATTACGATCGCGAAGATCCCATGACGAATCTCATTATATTAGTACCCGAGGATAAATTGCGCGATGGTATTAAGGGAAACCGAAGAACGAACGAGACAATAGATTCGAACGTCGATATAGGAATATAAGTTTGTTAAAAAATCTTTTAGGAATAATAAGAGATTATGTTCAATAAAATTATAAAATCAGTGTATATTTTCTATTTCCTAAATGATGCGATCTTATTGTAAAATATTTGAAGCTAACGGATTAATACGCGGTAGAGAAACTTGTTTAGTGCAGTTATTATTTGTTACTATGATTTCGTAGAACGGGTAATGGGGAATGTCTGGTTCCTCTCTTATAGACTCGTACCGACATTTTCTTTTCGCGGCTGTAGGTGTAGCAGGATTCTGTAGTATCGCTTCATTATCGACTCGAAGGTTCCTGTATTACCAGTATTACGTACAGTTCGTGTCTCGAACCGATGAGATGACACCACATTGAATTTTTTTATATCGAGCACTCGAGTACTCGACAAGCCTAACCTTAACGAATTCAAAATTATCTATAAATTTCAATGGATCGACGATATCTCTATATAATGTTTAGTCAGACTGGCTAGACGGAAAATTTGGGCGATGATTGTTCCAGGAACAAGATGGTATGTATGTACATAAAATGAAATTTATTTTATTGTAACATATATAACTATTAGTAAGTATTAAAGTTACGAACTAAGTGTATTAGCTAAGGATGGCAGTACTGTGTTAGAATATTTCTTATTCGATAAAATGTCAGATTTTTTCATTAGAAATATATTTCTCTTCCATCATCGACATCGTTAATTGCAACCTTGGGCTTCAAGTTTCTCCTTTGTTCCCTTTCCCACTGAGACGATTGTTAGAAGATCAGAGAATTTCAAATGTACTATTTACAAAAGTTTCGATCAACATTCGTTCTGCTAAAATAAATTTTAATTTTCGGACCAGTATTCTTGTAATTTATCTTTCGGAATCGAATTTACAATTTTTTGCAATCGACTGTACCGTCGATGCAAAATTTTTTTATCTAAAATTAGCCCCGGAATTCATTGGCAAAGTATTTGTATTTCCTCTGGAATCGCTTTGTATAAAACACTCGTCGAAATGTGTTTCGCGAGTCGATATATTTTTCCGCATTACGTTATTATCGCGAGGGAAACATCGGATTTGGAACGCGTACCGCGTATACCTATTTATCTCTTCAATTCCTTCTCCACTTTTCTGTATCGCTTTCGACGGACTCTAAGTACTTAGCAATCGAGCACATGCTCAGCTTTTGTCGAAGTTCTCGTGTCGTCGGATACGAATGCGATTTAATTAAAGCGTTCGACGGGTAACTATGCGCATTATATCGTGCGCTTCATTTCCAAAGTTCCGATTCATAGAACAAAACGTTCGTGTCGCGTATTCGTTGGCAATATTTTATCGAATCGAATCATTTTTCGAAATTAAGAAACTTTGGTCGTTTGTAAACTTCCGTAACTTTCGTGGAAAATTTAAAAAGTAACGCACTCGTCTCGAGAAAGTCGGAAAAGGGAACGAGCCGTTCTCGGCGTCGCACAAGTCGCGTTCTCGACTAAAACGTCGTTTGCACGACACCGAAACACGGCTACCAACGATCGCGAATAAAAAACACCATAAAACTGGTTCGGACCAGGGAGCAATTTTATCATTTTACCTCGTATATTGTATAAAATTTAGTACTTAACCGTTTGATGTTCCATTATGCGAAAATTGTTGCGAGTTACTTTTGCGATCAACTGTACACCCTCTCTGTCTCTCTTTCTCTTTTTCTCGCCCTCTTTCTCTCACAGGACACAGAGGTTTAGGCGTGCACGTGAACACGAGATGCCGTGCCACTTAATCACAGTGTCAGTCTATCCATTTGTATCGGGAATGCGGGTACAAGTACGTAGTTCCTCAGGTGAGTATGTGGGCACTGGTGAGATTTAGATTCCGGGTACAATTTGCTGTTGCGTCGGCGCCGCAGAGACTCCCCTTGCTCTCTCACATGCTAAACACCGTGAACCCACAGGCGAATTAACTGTAATGGAGATCCCTATTGCAGACGCAGATATTGTTCCGTAGTCGGTTATAAATTCGTGGAACGTTCCGTCTTTAGTTACGATGCGACTCGGTGTTAATTTTGCGAGCGAAATGGAACGTGGGTGGCTCGATAGCTCTATCGAAGTTTCCTTGCATACATAACCTAGAAACCTTTCGATAGTTTTTCACTTTTATTTGGGAAAATAACGAAACATCTTTTTAACGCAAAGTTGAATCTTATACCGTGCTCGTCTCATAACTCGGATTTATCAAATTAATAATTGATTTTTATTAATATACATACTATATCGAAGTAACATCAACGACCATAATTATGCATTTACCATTTTCCTTGTGTAATTTCTAATTTGCCTACTCTATGTAAAACATTGTTCTCGTGTATTTGGAATCTGTAGAATTCAAGGGGAAATATTAGTTCCGCCGAATTAAAATTCCTGGTGTTTTAAGAAAATTACCGAGTTGAAAGTACGTTGGATGTACACATTGTATAATACAATTAGAGACAAAAGGATAGAACAGTATTAATTTTGTATCTTTTATTCGATACTCGAATGAAAATTATTGCTACGTATGTTCAATTATAACAGTTTTATTCGTGAGGTTTTGTAGGTTATATATTTGCAAATGGAAATGTA